CACCCCTCGTCATCACCATACCCCCCTATACCTCACCATCCACCCCTATCCATCACCATACCCCCCTATACATCACCATACCCCTCTATACATCACCATCCCTCCCTATACACACCCATCCCCCCCTATCCCCCAACACCCCCCTCCATCACCATACACCCCTATACATCACCATACACCCCTATACATCACCATACACCCCTATACATCACCATACACCGCTTTACATCACCATACACCTCTATACATCACCATACAACTCTATACATCGCCATACATCCCTATACATCACCATACATCCCTATACATCACCATACACCCCCATACATCACCATACATCCCTATACATCACCATACATCCCCATACAACACCATACAACCCTATGATGATGTATAGGGGTGTATGGTGATGTATAGGGATGTATAATGATGTATGGGGATGTATGGTGATGTATAGGGGTGTATGGTTATGTATGGGGGTGAATGGTGATGTATAGGGGTGTATGGTGATGTATAGGGATGTATGGGGATGTGTAGGGGTGTATATGGTTATGTATAGGTGTATATAGTGTTGTAAAGGGGTATATGGCAATGTATAGGGGTATATGGTGTTGTTTAGGGATATATGGTGATGTATAGGGTGTATGGTGATGTATAGGGATGTATAATGATGTATAGGGATGTATAATGATGTATGGGGATGTATGGTGATGTATAGGGGTATATTGTGACGTATAGGGATGTATGTTGATGTATAGGGGTGTATGGTGATGTATAGGGATGTATGGGGATGTGTAAGGGTGTATATGGTTATGTATAGGTGTATATAGTGTTGTATAGGGGTATATTGCAATGTATAGGGGTATATGGTGTTGTATAGGGATATATGGGGATGTATAGGGGTGTATGGTGATTTATAGGGGTGTATGGTGATGTATAAGGAGTATGGTGACGTGTAGTTGTGTATGGCTATGTATAGGGGCATATGGTGTTGTATAGGGGGATATGGCGATGTATAGGGGTGTATGGTGATGTATAGGGGTGTGTAGTGATGTATAGGGGTTTATGGTGTTGTATAGGGGTGTATGGTGTTGTACAGGGTTATATGGTGATGTATAGGAGTACATGGTGTTGTATAGGGGTATATGGTGTTGTATAGGTGTACAGTCAACTCCCGCCTTGCGGACACCTCGCTATTACGGACACCCCGCTATAACGGACAGCAGCAAAATCCCCGGCGAAAGTTACAAACGTTTGACTGAAATAAACTCCCGCTATTACGGACTCTCGCTACTACGGACTTACGGACACTTTATTCGGTCCCAACGTCACAATTTTATTGTTTTCTCTCTCGTTATAGCGGACACCGAGCAGCATCTTG